ATAAAATGACAGAATTTGCAGATCCTGCTACCTACCTTAAATCATCTCTAGATTACTTATAACATCTAATACAATGCAAATACCATATGAATAGCTATTATACTATATTGTTTGTGGAATAAAGATAAGGAAAATATCTATGTTCAGTACAGATGCAATTTTTTTCTGAACATGTTCCATCTGCAATTGGTTGAATCTGAGAATATGGAACCCACAGATATGGGGTACTGGGCTATACTACCTTTTATGCAGGTTGCATATGCACACAGACATTTACAGAAAGGAAACACATAAAGGACAAGTAAACCAGAAGCTAATTTTTCATTTTATTTGTTTTCTTTCTTTCTTCATTATTGATACATGATATTCATATATCTTTATGGGGTACAAATATTTGTAAATCCTTATGGGGGTATGATGATTCCATGCACGTATACACTGCCAGTCTTATGGTATATTTTGAAGTCAGGTATTGGGATGTCTCCAGCTGTGTGTGTGTGTGTGTGTGTGTGTGTGTGTTCCTCAGGATTGCTTTAGCTATTCTGGATTTGATGTTTCCATATGAATTTTAGGATTATATTTTTCTATTTCTGTCAAGAGTGACATTGATATTTTGATGAGGATTGTGTTCATTTATAGATTACTTTAGGTAGTATGAATATTTTAACAATATTTATACTCCTAATCCATGAACGAGGGATATCTTTCCATTCTTTTGTGTGTGCCCTCTAAAATGTCATCAACATTTAAAAATTTTTTGTTATAGAGATCTTTCATTTCCTTGATTAGGTTTTGGTGTGCTTAGTTGTTGTTTGGTATGCTGGGGGTTGAATCCAAAGACTTGCACATGCAAGGCAAGCACTCACCACTTGAGCTGTGGCCCTAGCCTTTTGTTTTTTATTTTGTCTTTAAGACAAGGCCTATTACCTTTGCCCAGGCTGACCTCTGGAGTAGCTGGGATTATAGATATGTAACACCATGCCTGGATACTTCCTTGGTTAACTTTATTTTTAAATATTTTATTCTTTGTAACTATTATGAATGGTATTGCTTTCTTGTCTCATCTTTCAACAAGTTCATTATTTGTGTATAAAAATGTACTGCTTTTTTATGGTTATTTTGTATCCTGAAATGCTACTGAGAATCTAATTTTTTAAAAATGGTGTCTAATGGGGATTATGAAAAGAGAGAAACATTTTTCTAAATATACTTTGTTTTAAAGTTTTAAATGTAGAATTCTGCTTTGTTTTAAAATTCTGTCAAACATGTATAATTATGTGTTATACATGCAAAAGTAAAATTAAATGTAAAAATAATTGCTAAAGTTGGAGGTAATAGAAAGGAATGAACAGTAAATCAATTTGGTAACACAATCATACCTGGAAAAGTGTATTATTCTAAGTAATTTTTTAGCACAATGCCTGTACAAACCTGTAGGTTTTGCATTCCTGTCTAAGTAACACTGTTCTTCCCAGGCTGTCTCAGTGGTGTTGTTAATTTTGATCATCTGCTCAGGGCATGTCTGATTTATCTGTTGTATCATCATCTGACAACTTCCAAGCAAAAACAAAACAAAATAACACACACACACACCTTCAAGCCCTACCCACAAAAAATACTTATTCCATGTGCTTCATGGGCAATAAAAACTAAATGCTGCCCATATTTAGTCCTTGAAACTACATTCCTCATTACAGGTACCAGAAATTTTTCAAGAAATGCTTGTTCCCAGGGAATTTACAAGATGAACTCCCAGTATCACATTGTGCCACATAGGAAGGGAGTTCTCAAAATCTGAGTCATATCAAAATAACACTGGAGTCAACTTGAAGGGGATCCCATTGACTAAAGAGAAATAATTTGAGTATTTTAAAAAAATGAAGACTGAGCACAGTGGCTTAAGGCTGTAACCCTAGCTATTTGGAAGGCAGGAATTGAGGTGATGAGGTTCATGGCCAACCTGGGCAAAAAGTTCGCAAGACCCCATGTCAGCCAATGGCTGGGCATGTGGCACAGGCCTGTCATCCCAGCTATGTGGGAAGCACACCAGGCTGGCCCAAGTGTAAAACAAGAACTTATCTCAAGAAAAGGGCTGGTAGAGTGGTTCAAATGACAGAACGTCTGCCTAGCAAGCACAAGGTCCTTAATTAAATCCCCAGAACTACCAAAAAAAAAAAAACAATCCCCAAAGTAACTGATCACTATTCCTTACTGTATAAAGATCCATAAGAACACAAAAATACTCCTTACACCATCAACAGGATAAGCATATTGGCTTTTTTTCACTCAAAAATGTTTTTGTGTCCTTTGTCTAACAGTTGGGCAAGTTTTTTGTTTCCTGACAGAACACATCCTCTTTAGCATCCAGCTCAGAGGCCCCTCCCCTAAGAAGGTTTTCCTAAAGCCTCCATGTATTCACTACAACTTATGTACACACCTCTTTTCAAATTTTTAAATTTTATTTTTATTTTTATTGTTGAGCTGGGAGTACACTGGCATCTACAAAAGTTTTTGCAATATATCAAATATATCATACTTGAATTCTCCCCCTTCCACCATTCTCCTTTATCTCCTCTCTCCCCATTCCTGGAACAGTTTCAACAGATATCATTTTTCCATTTACATACATGTGTACACAGTATTTGCATCGAATTCACCCTCTTACACCCTCTTGCCACATCTTCCTCTCTCCCATTGGAACCCACCCCCTAGGCAGGACCTGTTCTGTCCTGTTCTCCTAGTTTATGTGCACACCTCTTTAAATGTACTATCAATACTATACTAGATTTGCTTCACTAACTGTGTTTTTCCCTCTAGACTGGAAATTTATAAATACAGGACCTGTATGATTTTTACCTATTTTGTTATTTCCAATGCTTAACACATATTTACAGTTCATATATTTTATAATGTTATTATTGCTGTGAATAAATGGATCTATTTCAATAGAACCCTCTGTTTTTTCTTGATCACCCAATTCAGATTTGTCTATATTTTAGAAAATGTTTTAGTGCAGTTAAATAGCTGGTTATTTCAGCCAATGTGACAAAAATTTTACCAAGGTAAATTTTTGCTTTATTCTTCTATCAGCCATAGCTTCAGCACTGAGCAAACTAGAAATATGCCCCATAATCTTTTTTTTTAGGCAAAAATCTTCCTCTAGTGTTTTGATTTATTTCAGTCCTTTTTTTCTCTTTCTGTCTACACACACAAGCCTACTGATAATGTAGGGCACGTTAGTAGTAAAATTTTATTGGCAATTCATGGTTTGACTTAATTGTGATGTTTTTCAAATTGTAGTTTGAAGTACATTTTTCTCAAAAGGTCAATTTGCTCCTATGTCTGTAACACATTAGTACAGCCAAGCTACTGTGTGTGTTTCACATAAATTGTATGTATCAAACTTCTTTCATGCAATCACCCACTCTGCGGAATCGCATGCGCGTGTGTACATTTCCAGTCTTATGGGCTTTTAAGCATTAACAATTTAAGTAATAGAGATGGTTTACTAGCTCACTCCAGTACCTGAAAAACACTCATTCACAGTGAATGGGTTCTTATTTCAGTCAGGGTCGGATAATATCGATAGTGCGGTTAAGGCCAAAGCTTAACGCCCATTTGTGCTAAGTTGGGGCATCTCCCCCACTCCTTTTTGGAGCAGGATTGAAGCTTTGCAAAAGATCCCAGGGGCGTGGCTGCAGCTCCCCACGGTTGCGGCGCTGTAGAAAGGGGCTGGCGCTGGCCGTGGTGCTGAACGCAGTCCCTGGTAAGTGGCTGGAAGGAAACTGCCGGGTTTGTGAGTTCTCCAGCAGCAGGCAGTCTCTCTCTTGGGTGTGGATTCCCAGCAGAAGCACCATCACCTCCGATCCAATCCCACGAGGTGCAACTCGTACCTATCAACAGCAACCTCAAAAACAGCAATGCAGTCTTTACTTACTTGTTGAGTGCCTAAGTGTCCCCAGCACTTGACATCCAAACGACAACAAACTAAACCTCAGAAAGCTGAGGACCTTGCCCAAGGGGGAACATAGCTACTAAATGGCTGATTTGTATTAATCATGCCTCAAACAATAATGTTTACTGCGCATCCTCGACGTGTGCCAGCCTTGAAGCTTCCGCCCCTCCTCCACTTGCCAGCTACATCTTCATGTCACCCATGCTCCCTTCCTTTCTCTGCCCCGCCCCTGATTTGCATTGGGCAAAAGTTCTCTCAATGCAACATGCCCCTTACAACCATAAAGAAGAGCGCAGGAATTTAGGACAGGGTTATTCACACATCTTGCGCACTCGCCCTCAGCAGTCCCAGCCAGATGAATGATCTAACTCTAGTTTTCTGAGCCAGTGTATGACCTTGGACGAGCGGTCACGTTTCTGACCTTATTTCTCCCGGTGAACACGCGGGTGTGTTCTAGCTCTGCGTGAGGCTCTTCCCAGGTGCGCGCTTGTCTCCTCCAGTCGGGATACAAACACGAGGTCCTTCTTTTTTTTCTCCCCAACCCCAACCGCGTTAGGCACGCTCGCTTTTGCTTCCCACCAGGTTTCCTACTGGACTCCACTCGGATCCCTCTGCTGGAGGCGTCCTTCCCTCCGCCACCGCGGTTTCCACCCGTGGAATGACCTGTCCTGCCGGGATACCCTAGCGCCCAAGGTTCAGAAGGGAACTCACGCTCCTGCTTTGCAGCGCTGGATTCCGTGGAGCCCACGCTCTAGGATGCTTCGGGGAGTGTGAGATGCAGCTGGACCAAGGTCTGGAATGCCAGGAAAGACTGGCGGGGCTGCTATGGTGACAGGTATGCTGGGTTGGAAGATGGGGACTTTGGGGAAAAGGGTGGGGGTGAAGGGCAGCTGAGAGAGAGAGAGAGCGCGCAGTGGGTCACTCCCTCTGCTTCACCTTCTCCCTAGGCTTCTGCTTCTCACTTTCCTCTCTTTCCAATGCAAGCATCCTTCCTGTCCACCCGCGCCCGCTCCTTGCTCGCACTCTCTGCGCCTAAGGGGACTTCCTCGGGGACCAGCTCGTGCAGCGAAGTCTCGATCCCAGGCCAGTTAAGCCTAGCCGGCAGCATGAGGAACGCGACGCCAAGCGAGGAGCCAGAGCCCAACGTCACCGATCTGGACTGGGACGCTTTCCCCGGCAACGACTCGCTGGCGGGCGAGCTGCTGCCGCTCTTCCCCGCGCCGCTGCTGGCGGGCGTCACAGCTACCTGCGTGGCGCTCTTCGTGGTGGGCATCGCCGGCAACCTGCTCACCATGCTGGTGGTGTCGCGCTTTCGCGAGCTGCGCACTACCACCAACCTCTACCTGTCCAGCATGGCCTTCTCCGACCTGCTCATCTTCCTCTGCATGCCCCTCGACCTCGTCCGCCTCTGGCAGTACCGGCCCTGGAACTTCGGCGACCTGCTGTGCAAACTCTTCCAGTTCGTCAGCGAGAGCTGCACCTACGCCACGGTGCTCACCATCACCGCGCTGAGCGTCGAGCGCTACTTCGCCATCTGCTTCCCGCTGCGAGCCAAGGTGGTGGTCACCAAGGGCCGGGTGAAGCTGGTCATCCTGGTCATTTGGGCCGTGGCCTTCTGCAGCGCCGGGCCCATCTTTGTCCTAGTTGGGGTGGAGCACGAGAATGGTACTGACCCTCGGGACACCAACGAGTGCCGTGCCACCGAGTTCGCGGTGCGCTCGGGACTGCTCACGGTCATGGTGTGGGTGTCCAGCGTCTTTTTCTTCCTGCCTGTCTTCTGCCTCACTGTCCTCTACAGTCTCATAGGCAGGAAGCTGTGGCGGAGGAGGCGCGGCGATGCGGCCGTGGGCTCCTCGCTCAGGGACCAGAACCACAAGCAAACCGTGAAAATGCTGGGTGAGTCTCCGCGCGCTCCTGGGCTTTCCATTGCGAGTGCCCTCCTTTCTTTCCCGTGCCTTTCCCCTTCTCCTTCTCCCTCTTCTCCCTCATCCTCTTTCTCCATGAGTCTCTCTCTCTCTCTCTCTCTCTCTCTTCTCTCTCCTCTCTCTCCCCCTCTCTCTCTGTCTCCCCATCCCCCTTCCCTCCCTCGCTCCTTCCTTCCTTCCCTCCTCATCTTTTTTTTCTACACTTTTGTATTTTCCTAAAATGAATTTACCATTAGTCCACAAAGTTCCTTTGAGATATTTCATAAAAGTTTATTGTGGTCTCTAAATGTCAGAGGTGAAGTTAAGCCTCCTGTCTCTACTACAGTTTGTAGATTCCAAAGTTACATTAAGAAAAGCAGGCATTGGATATAGGAAGTATTCAGTGGTAAATTTAACCCAAACCATGATGAATTTGCATGATTCTGTTGGAGATGGTTCATTTTTCTTTCAATATTGGGATTTGTTTTTTGTCCTGCATTTTTTTCCAGATTATTACATCGACTTGCTTTATCCTGCAGCTCTAAACTGCAGGGCTTTGTAGTTGTAAGGAAGTCAATTTCTAATCAGTGCCCTGTCTCCCTTTCTTTTCATGGTTATCTGTCTCTGCAGGCAGCATAGACTAGGGTAGGATAAGATACACTAGGGTACACAGAGCTCCAAGAGAAAAGAGACTTCATGGAGGCCTACAGGACTTACTGTCCCCTCCTCAAGTGTCCCCGCTGCATCAGTACTGGAGTTTACTGAATAGTTACTGCATGAATTCTACTTCTTCAAGGATGTACTTGATACAAGTAAAGTAATAAAAAACTTACTCATGTCTAACCAAAATATTACTTCTACTCATTTTTCAAAACTAGTGTCTGTGTATTTAATTACTTGGACATTATAATCAGCATTTCATATTATGGGCGTATTTAATGTTCTTAGAAGTTATTCCAGGATGACTTCGTATTTGCCATTTTATAACTCCTAAATCCGCTTATTACAGTTATAAGGTTTCTTCATTGAATGTCAGGCTTTATTTTCTAGACCAATGGTTCTCTCAATATGACTCAGAGGTTGTAAACCTACTTGTGTCCTCCAGGGGACTAAGTTCTTACTTGTGAGATTCAGATTGTTGCTGTGGTGTTAAGTTGTTGCTTTGCAATTTAGTTTTGAAGACAAGCTTAATAATTTCCTCCAAGTTTAAAGTTATTAATTTCCTCACTGGGGGAGCAATACCATTGTTAATATTATTCTTCCTTGACAATTTGAAAGGGGATCACTAGAGTGCTACAAGCTCTAAATCATTATTTTCCCTCCCACTTCTGAATTTTTAAAACTTAATCTAATAATTTAGAATTCTTGAAAAAATATCTTACCTGGGCAAAATGAAGACTTGGATTGATGGTAATTAATGTTGATTGTTTTATGGCCTTTTACACCTTTCTCATGTCTGTTGTAGGTGATGTAAAATCATCCACCTCAGTGTCTTAAGGTTTTACATAGGACTGCATGTCCTTAGTAAAACTTAAAAAAAAAAAAAAAAGCTGGACATGGTTGCCTACGTCTGTAGTCCCAGCAATTTGGGTGGCAGAAGGATTGCTTGAACCCAGGGGTTCAAGGCCAGAGAAGGCCAGACTGGGCAACACAGCAATACTGGTTCTCAAAAAAAAAACAAAAACAAAAAAACCAACCAGAAAAAAGAAAGGAACGAGAAAGAAAAGAAAAAGCAGGTGCCCCGATCTCCTTTCTAGAGATTTTAATGAGTTTGTAATATATCCAAGGAATCTGCATATCTGAGAAGTGCCCCAGGAAACCAATTCCAGCTACGGTTAAGTACAACTATCATGGCTTATTTGTGCTGTGTCTGACACATATAAAATGGTGGATTTCAATCTGTCAACTTGCTCACCAAATCAGATTGTTCTTAAGTAGGAGTAACTTGGAAGCTCAGTATAAACTGTTGAACCATTGGTTCAGACAGTCTCAATTTGGTGCAGGAATAGAGAAAAGCAGAATATAACTTTTCTGTTTGAGAGCAGAACAGGGTGCTTCTCAATGGTCATACTACACACCATCAAAACAAAACTAAGTCTTGTAAGTAGAATGTGATCTGCTGTAACATTTCTTGAACTGACCATTTCTCTCCCCATCCTTTCAGCTGTAGTGGTGTTTGCCTTCATCCTCTGCTGGCTGCCCTTTCACGTAGGGAGGTATTTGTTTTCTAAATCCTTTGAGCCTGGCTCCCTCGAGATTGCTCAAATCAGCCAATACTGCAACCTGGTGTCGTTCGTCCTCTTCTACCTCAGTGCTGCCATCAACCCCATTCTGTACAACATCATGTCCAAGAAGTACCGGGTGGCTGTGTTTAAACTTCTAGGTTTTGAATCCTTCTCTCAGAGAAAGCTCTCCACGCTGAAGGATGAAAGTTCCCGGGCCTGGACAAAGTCTAGTATTAACACATGATGGGGCTCATTGCGGAGCAGTCATCACTTATTGTTCCAAGCCGGAAGCCATAACACAGCAAAACTTGGGAGGAAGCGGAAGGTCAGTTTAGGAATTAGGGATCCCTGGATATCTGGGGGGAAAGACAAGATGGAACTTGGAGGGACTGAGCAATTTGACTGCATTGCTCACTCATCAGTGCTGTCACACACTATCCCTGCATATCCACTGCCTGTGAATTTGCATGCTGGAACTGATACTGGTGAGGGCTTTGCAACTCAGAAAAAGAAAGCAGTACAGAGTGGGCAGTTAGAGCCCTCTTGGTAGGTAAACACTAAATGTGATTTGCTTTTTCATAATGATCAAAATTATTTGATTAAAAGAATGGCATTAAAAATCAAAATTTTAAAACATGACTTTTGAAATTAGCAACTTTCATGGGCTCTCGAGCATGCTGCCCAAGAGGAATACAATGCAAGGCACATAGATCATCAATATAAAAATGACTGATGAGAAATTTACATTCTTTTTTCACAATACGTGTTTGAACTCTTGTATTTGCTTTTTACACTTGCAGCCCACTTCAATTTGGATATTAAATTTTCATCAGTAAAATGGTGTGTTTGGATTTCATAAAATTTACAGATGAAAAAGTAGATTCAACAACTTAAATTATGTAAATCCACTTAAAAGTTTTAGACACCTAAAACAAGTTTTAAAATTCAACATTAATTAAAATTAAATAGTTCAGTTCTTCAATTGTACCAGTTACATTTCAAGTATTCAGCAGCCAAATGTGGCTAGAGGTTACCATACAGAGCAAGGTAGCATGAGAGTATTTATGAAATTATCATTAATCACATATTAAATATTTAAAAATAGGTACCTTTTCCCTGAAATGTTTGTATGGTAAATTAGCAGTGCAGAATTTTAGAGTGATAAATTTTAAAAATCACACCTTAATGCCCTAGTTCCCATGGTTTGAAGAGAATGTAATGTGTGATTATATAAGATACATTTTTACATTAAGTTTAGCTGCATATGTTAATATCCAGGAAATGCAATTTTATAAAAACAATAAGCAATCACAAACTTATTTGGCATAACAAAAATACTTAAGCCCATCGTAAGCCTTTGATTTGTGGATAAGGGAGTAATTATAACTTACTCTGGCAAGCTTACAGGAAGCTTAATGAACGTACAAGTTTTTCAAATGGTGAAGGCAGGCCCATGTAAAAGACTCAGATTCCCACAAAGGCGACTATTTTTTAATATTCAGCACTTAAAAAAATTATAGTCATTTATCTTAACATGTCTGTGTCATGCCTCTCTCCAAATAGTTCTATTCACATCCACTGCTTATCTGATAGATACGTTTTTGGATTTCTAGTCTCCCTCATAATCATAATTATGAATGAGTACTATTCAACCAAATATTGTATATTTTGTCTATAAAGCTAAAATTTTCACTTGTATTGACATTGTTCCCTGTATAGTTGACTCTTTGCACATTAAATGTATTACTGCAAAAATGATTTGTTCCTAATACTAAGTCTCCTAAATAGTTCTTATATATAGTTACTAGTGTAATTATAGAACTAATTAAGCCATTTAAGGAAATTACTGCCATGATTGTTTTTTACTCACCCAAAGGAAAGATTATCATGCTGAAGAAATTGATTGACTGTTTAGTTTGGAAACATCAAAACAGAATCATAATTAGAATTATTTCTCTAGAGAAATTTTTCTGAAATCCATTTGGATACTAAAACTCCACCATCAATTCAGTCTCAATGTAGAAATCAGCAAGTTAATTCTTAGGAGGGCAACAATATTTTTAAAAAGTACACAGATGTATTTAGGTCCATGAGAATTCTTGTCCCAAATAGCAATCAGTAAATCCCAAAGAGATAATGCAGCTTCCTGAAGTTTTAGTGTGTTTTAATCTATAAATACATTCTTACTTGAAATGAAACAGAGTTTAACCTCCATCACAAACCCAGCTTCTAATTTGTGGCTTACCTATTCACTGGTCCCCCTTCTTTGTGGACTCATGCTTATAGTCTTGACCTGACTCACTTCCAGGGAATAGTTTATATTATTCCCACCACTGGTCCCAGAAGGACCACCACTGTCCCCCATCAGTCAATCATGGAACCCAGAGGCTGTGTTTAGAGGAAGGAATCTTTAATTTGTCCTCTCAAACCATTGATCTTTTTATTGCTTGCAACTTCTTTATATTACTGTACTCCACATGTTGTCTGAGACTCAGGGAAGGAAGGAATTGCCTGAAGAAAATTGTTTCTAAAAAGTCTATTATTTCACAGCATTTAGTATGTGCCTGCCATGTTCTGAACTTCTGGCATTCATGAGCCAAAGATTTCACTTATCCTCAGTGAGCTCACATTTACCTGTTATGTTGAAGTAGTAATTGATAAATATCTTTAAATCATGAAGCAAATATTTCCAGTGGACACCGTCTCAAATGACTGCTCCTTAGGATTTCAATGGAATATTGATTCCATTGTGGTGGTGGGTACTTAGCTCAGAGTAGACTTGAACTGGATGTTTCTACATGAACAGGAAAATCTGTAGACACAGTTAATGTGTCTGCCAGTCTGCACTCTGCCACTCAGAGTACAATTCATTAATGTGGGGAAAATAAAGGAAAGGGAAGAGTGTGTTTTCATTTTCCTGGTTATCCAGCACTGAGGTTTCTGTCACTGCACCTGACACTGTCTCAAAATCAAGGGTTTGATCATTTTCATTATAGCAAGTAACTGTCATGGGAGTGAGAACTTTTTAACAGTTGCTTTAAATTCTCATAGCCATCGATTATTTCAAATTGAAAACGGCGGTAATGAAACTTAGAGAGACTTGTAGTACTTGGTCACATCTTCAAAACCATTTTTGGTTAACTTTTTATTGCAATGAAAGTTGCTGTGATGGGATTTGACTGAAAAGTTCAGTTTTTCTCCATGCAAAGGCTTTTATTAAAATCTGAAATCATTACGATGTACCATTTTTCACTCAACATTAACAGTTTTAGCTGTTTTTTCTTTTTCATTTATCCACATACTTGAATTTAATATTAAAAAATACTGTGAGTTTTTTTTTTTTGCAAGACTGGTGCCTGAAAACATTCTTTCATCTTTTTAAAAAACTGTGTGAACATCTTGAAAACATACATACGCTTTTACATATATAAAAATTCCTCATCAAAATGTCTAAGTGAATAGAATAGAGCTTTTTGTTTTCAGTAACACTGTATCTAATGTAAATAACTTCATTAAAAGATAAAGAGAAGGTCATGTCTAACATGGTTTATTAGCTAGTGAGTCTTCTATGATTTCTTTGCTATTTAAATTATAACACTAGCCAGGATGTACAATTGTAATTTACCTAGATGATTAGTAACCCATGTTAATTCAGTGAATTAAAAACACAGTTTTTTATCCAGAAAAGCAAATGCTCACCAAAATCAGCAGAAAGCAATGCACTGGTAACCGAGGCTTGCCTCACTTATTTTTTCTCATTCAATGACTTCTGTCAAGCCAATTCCTGGCAATAATCTAAATATGAACCAAGTGAGGAGGAAAGTTTGGCCTGAGGCTAGTTTCTGGTTTTTTCCTTTTGAACTCAAACTCTTGGAAGATGCTGGGGGCTAGCTATTTTGGTTGACAGAATTATCAGCATTCTTTAAAAGCTGCCATGTTTAGGTTCCTCCTAGTTGTTTGACTATTTACTGGAATTCCAATGAGTATTCTGCACTGCAACACTGTATAGCTTTGATCAAAGGACTACTAACAACCCTCTAAATTGGCAAAAGAATACTGCCCTCAAAAAGGATGTCTCATGTAGGTGATCAGAAAATTCTGCCAAAAATGTTTACAAATGTTTTTTCCAGAAGAATGCTTCTCTTCCTTAGCCAGAGAGAAAGTATTGGAGAACAGTTTGAAAGATTTCCTGTGGTTTTATCATTTCAAATCTAAAACATGACTCTGGCTCAAACCATAAAAATGTATTTTTTACTTTAACACTATAGGTTTAGTGTACAAGAGAACACTTGCTTATATAAATAATCTAAGCACTGTAGCCTCCTGTTTCAGTGACGTGCAGTGTATCTAACTCTGTATAGGATTTAATACTGTACTTGGTTGATTTGTGTTACCATGATGTGTCAGAAATGTCACTGTTGGTGTTTTCATTTGCAATTCTTTTTAAGGTTTTTGTAAATGTTAATGAGAATTTTACTGTGGATCTTATGTACCTGTCTTATTAAATTTAGCATTGGTTTTCCTTCCTTTGGGTGTCCATAACCAAACAATTGCTTAATAAATATCATTTAAAGCATACAGCTGACTTTTCCCACTTATTAATCTCACTGTCTTGGTTATTTTACATCTCCTATGGTCCTAGATTTAGTTCTGTTTTGCCCTTTACATTTCTAAAATATGTATTTTGCAACTATAAGGAGGTGTTTGCTATAGTGAATTTAATTTCTCCAAGGGCTCCAACATTTCATAAAGAGTGAAGTAGTTCTTGTAAGTATTAAGAAGAGTAGGAGACCTTGTAATAGGCTATGATTCCATGATCTCACCACTTCTCTGACCCTTCCAGCCTGTTCCCCAGAATTGATGTTGTGCTCAGATGTGACCCAAAGACTACAAGCCCTCGAGTCAGGGGAAGGGTCTCTGTTCATCTTGCATTCAGCTACTTGCCAGTGTTCACTGGAGAAATCAAAGTTTAAAGACTGGATTGCATATCACCTAGGTTATCACTGAGGTATTAGATTCCAAACATAGGATTCCAGGAGTCAATAAAATTTAAAGCTAAAATTAGAGGACAAAGAAAGGTGGTCAATTTGAATTTGCTAATTAAGAGACTTTAAACTATTCTATTACACGACTAGCACCTATCTCATTCTTTCAGGTCCATTCCCACAACAGACTATGGAGATCAATCTACAAACACTGGGTGCTCCTTGCTTCCTAACTCATAGCTCATAATCAGTTCCTGACTTCATAGCCAGCTTCCTCTAGGAGCTCATCAGGTTAAC